AAAGCACGTGCTTTACAGCGATTTTCGCCTATAGAGGCGGCTCTTGCCATAGATATATATGTTGGCTCTCGCACTGTATAAGGACAACGGACCGTTCTCAGCCGCTTCAGCTCTGACGCAACCCGGAAAAACTATCGGCGTGGATTTTTGCCGATAACCGATAGTTCCGGGAATCAACTATCGGTGCCGATTAATCGGCAAAACCGATACATCGGTCGACCTCTAGTCAGTGTCACTCTCACTCTGTTGTGCATTGTTTTTGGGGCTGCAAAATTTGATTGTAAAAGCGGGCATTGTTTGTAAATGTACATTTTTTTTATTACACTCATATTAGCAAATTGTTGCTAACTGAGGTAATTGCTAAATGAGGAGAGGGTGTATTAAGGCACAATTTAATACTAGAATATATGCAAATTAAGAGTAACACAATAAAAACTAACAACAATTTCTTCTGTTCTGCAATGAGTTACTGATACCGTGTTGGATGGCTAGATGAACGCCGCTTCATTCCCTAACCCTCCTCAGGGGCACCTCAGACATTCCATGTATCCATTACATTTCACCACCAGCTGAATTCATTAATTAATTAAATTAGTTAAATAACTTGAGGTACGAATTACCCAAAGATGGAGTGTTAGTTGCCGATGGCTGTATGGATGGTCTCTGCAAATGCTGGGGTGATTGTAGGTTTGAAAGCTAACGCAGTCTGACAGACATATCATCATAGTTTTACACCAAACACAAAGATTCATAAAACATACTTAAAAAATATTTTATACGAAATCCATTTATAGCATTTCAAATGAATTTAGTTCGTATATTAGACCTGCCTCGAGATTACTTAATGTTACAACCATTGTAAGTAATTTACCAATTTGCTGTGTTTTTATGTCATTTAAATAAGTCCTGTTTTGTTCTGGAGCTGCACTGAAGTGCAGCTGAGTAGGTTATGAACTGTTCTTCTTGTCAGTCCAATGAAAAGCCGCGTGATGACTCACTTCGTCTAATCCTCCTCCACCTCCTTTGCTCCTGCACTTCTGCAGGAGGTAAACAGGGAGCTGATGAGCCAGCAGGAGGCCTCAGTGGAGCAGCAGCAGCAGCCGCCCGTCGAGATGTTTGATTTCAAGATCAAGTTTGCAGAAACCAAGGCCTATGCGAAGGTGAACCTGCCCCGCCCCGTAAATGTGGCCAGTACTGACAGCAACTCAAGATCATGTTCTTTGCATAGCAACACAGTCTACAGTCGACATCAGTCACTCACAAACTTTTTACACCTCATAAATATCTTTTCACCCACCACCATTATGACCAATGTCATTAAAGAAGATACTTGCATGTACCACTAGAGGGAGCTCGCATACCACCAGTGGGACACGTAGAACCACTGGTCTGTATCTCAGGAATGTTGGGCATTTATGAATTTTGTCTTGCATTTTATATTAGATGGCAGTAAGTATCTGATTAGCTGCCTTTGTGTTTATTTATGTATTGGATTTATTGAGCAAGGACAAAAGATAATGTTACATGTGAAAACAATGCAACTGTTGTTTTGTACGGAGGTTTTCTAGCCAAAGGCTAATTTGCAAACCTAGTCCTTGGTTGGACTTTTAAGAACAGACAATAACAGCAATTATCGAGTCACACACACACACACACATTAATACACACACACATTCAAGAAATTAGTATGAATGAAGTAATATAACTTATATGAAACATCAGTGTTCACAGATTTGTGTCGCCTCGGTTATGGTAGGCTATCGAAATGGAGCTTAGGAAGATGGAGGTGATCCAGGCCAGCAGACAGGTGTCCCTGCTCACCTCCTTCATGCCGGATTCCTTCCTGCGGCATGGCGGAGACCACGACTGCATCCTCGTCCTGCTGCTCATCCCGCGGCTCATCTGCAAGGTGAGGCATCGGCATCGGACCGAAGACGAGGCCCCGTCACAGTTTTGTCACTTCGTAGCCGCTGCGTGTCGTCGCCCCAGTTCCCAGAGTGGCAGCTTTGTGCGCCTGTATGTCTGCGCAGGCGGAGCTGATCAGCAAGCAGGCGCAGGAGAAGTTTAACCTGAACGAGAACTGCGTGGCTCGCGCCGGGATGCGTGGCGCAGTGGGGGAGCAGCTGAGCTTCGCCGCCGGCCTGGTCTACTCCCTCAGCCTGCTGCAGGCCACCTTGCACAAATACGAGCAGTACGTCCTTTCGGTCTCCTGTGCGGCACGTCGCCATGCAGGCCTGGCATTAGTTTTGTACGCGACACCCCTGACCTTCCGGCCCTGTGGGAGTTTCCACCCTCGGCTTCTCGCTGCACCCAGGCATGAGTCTAACGCAGTGTGCTGGCGTGTGCCTCTCTCAGAGCTCTGAACCAGTGCAGCGTGGAGGTGTATAAGAAGGTGGGCATGCTGTACCCGGAGATGAGCGTTCATGAGCGCAGCCTGGATTTTCTCATCGACCTGCTGCACAAAGACCAGCTGGACGAGACGGTGAATGTGGAGCCTCTGACCAAGGCCATCAAGTACTACCAGGTATGGAATGAATCGCAAGGAATAATGCTGCATTATCATGAACCTACACATGAAGTGGCTTGAGAAATCAAGCTTCATGGCACTTGCTGGATGGGATGACCATGCAGTAGGAGAATACAGTGGAAACTCGGTTCTCAAACTTAATCCATTCCAGAAGGCTGTTCTAGAACTGATTTGGTTGAAAACCGAATCAGTTTTTCCCATGAGAAATAATGTAAATTGGATTAATCCATTCCAGACCCCCAAATGACTGCCTGTATAAACCTGTATAAATACTTTCATAATGTTAAACTTTAACTTTAAAACCACAAAGGCATGAAATAAATGAAGAATTATTTCGCCTTTCTGTAGCGAGATCAGACATGAGATCAAAGCATCTCTGTCATACTTTTTTTTTTTAAACTCTATCATGATTCTCACAACCTTCCTCTTTGGTTTGCTGCTACCACTAACCTTCTTAGGACCCATGGTGTCCTACGTAAAAACAAAGTAAGTGCAACAAAAGCAAAAAAAAAAAACATGAGAATATTCACAGCACAAGAGGTTATTGTCAGAACCTTATAATCGTAATTTGACCCAGTGAAATTTATAGATGGCACCAGATAATCTCACAAACCAGGACTGCCAAAGTATAATTTTTCTTCCCCATGACTACCTCTGGTAACCTGAGTATTGACTCAAAACACATTAAATTATTTAACCAGGTTAACAAGAAAAAATGTTTTAGCATACAGAGAACATTCAGATGCATAAACATATATAAATATATAAATGCATATTTAGCTGTTTTCTGTAGCCTTTCCTATATAAGTAATTTTAACGGTGGGCGTTTGAAAATTTCCATTTTAGAAATTAGGATCTGTAACAGATCCATCCTTTTATCACTTCCATTCTCATTTTCTACCATAGGTGGAGTGTGCGTTATACAGCGTTACACAGTGGTCTGGGGCGATGCTGGACTGCAGTTTGTGGCGAAAGAGCTCGTTCAGGTTCTTTCTGTGTTCATTATAAAGTTGGTTACCATTTTGCCGGCTCTTGTCTCGCCCTGCAGCACCTGTACAGCATCCATCTGGCAGAGCAGGCAGAGGACTGCACCATGCAGCTGGCCGACCACATCCGGGTAGCTACTGTCGCCGCCGCCTTCACATTTACCTGCTGTCATTACATCTCACACCACACTGTGTCGCTGTTTCGTTCACCTTTTTCACAGTCAAGACACTGCAGTTTGGAGATTTCACATGCAATGAGTATAAATCCAGACCAGGATTTTGTTTCAACCAACCAGTTGAGTACTCTACGACTGTGACTCTTTATACTCAACTGCTTGGTTGAAACAAAATCTTGGTCTGGATTTGTACCCTACACCTGAAATCTCCACCTATGATACCAAGCTAACAATTTTTTCTACAAGGAATGTTTACGAAACGTTAAGGAATGGAAACATTCTAGATGTTCCCAGAACATTATCCCACTACTACTACAGATAAGAATAATAACATATCAACAGAATAAAAGGTACTGCAGCTTCACACTTTTGAGCTGAAGGATTCAAGGCTGGACGGTGTATTCCCGATATACTGTACACTTACAGAACTTTTATAAAAAATAAAAGTTTATTATCAAACAATATTTTTCAACATTATGTTAAAATAATGTTCCGGTAATAATGTTACGATGTTAATATTGACAAAACCTTTGTTACAATGTAAAATGTGGAGATAACGTTCCATTAACGTTACAATAAGAAGATTCTCTACCAGCTTTGAAAAGGCATTTAAATAATGTCAGCTAAAGGTATGGATCACTGTTTAGCTGGCTATGTACATTATGATACATATGTGGATTTTTTCAAGTTGCATGGGTATCAGCGCGGCGTTTATGGGTCTCGTTTGTTTGGGCAGTTTACCCAGAGTGCCTTGGACTGCATGGCTGTGGAGGTGGGCCGCCTGCGTGCTTACCTTCAGCCTGGCCAGGATGGCACCGACCTGGCCGTCCTGCTCAAGGACCTGGAAACCTCTTGTAGCGACATTCGCCAGTTCTGCAAAAAGATCCGTCGCAGGATGCCTGGCACCGATGCCCCGGGTATCCCAGCAGCCCTCGCTTTTGGCCAGCAGGTGGGTTCAGGTCTGGTTCAGGAGCGTGACTAGAGATTTATAAAAAGGGCACCTAAGGCTCTACTAGGGCGTCTGGTTTTAATGAAAATGAACGAGAGCACACTATGTCAACTAATTAGTGTACGAACTGCACCCACAAAGGCTTCTCTCACTTTCTTATTTAGACACAGGTGTAAGTGGCATCTTTAATGCAGTTAAATGAACATAGATTGTTTAACTATAGCTTATGGTTAAATAGAGAAATAATACAAATGAAGTTCTCCTGTGTTGGGGTGACTGCTCTGTCTTATCTACGGCTCCATGTGAACATTCCTGGTATTTCTCTCAGATTATATAACTTATGGTACACCATACAGACCTGTTTTGAGAGCTACACTCTCCGGAGGCACTTGCGACGTGAATTATCGGCGATTTGTTTGTAGTTAATTTCATCCATCTTTTATGTCCCTTGTCCAGTACAGAATAATCCCGTTAAGTACCAGTCTATGAGAGGTCATAGCACATCAGAAATATTTGAATCCATCAGCTAGTTTTACTACAAAATTACATGTGTCTTCAATCAGGCTAAGTTTAAAACTCTAAAGGCTGTTTATCATCATGGTGTTAAATCTATCATGGAAACTTTGTGTGCATTTACATAATATATTACCAAAAAAACAACTGAGCAGCCTAAATATTTCTTTGCAAAATAAATAAAGGTTTAATCATTAATCAAATTTCCTAATCAAAAGATAACAGGTAAAATTGGGTAATGGGCATTAGGACGTGCAGGGGAGCCATTGACCCTATATAGCAGTATTTCCAAATCCAGTCCTCGGGGATCCGCAGACGGCCCACTTTTTGCCATCTCCCAGCTCCCAGTATCAGAGTTGAATGCGTACTGGGGTGGAGAGCAGTGCTGACTGACGCGGTGCTGCCTTATTCCAGGTGTCAGACACACTGATGGACTGCCGCAAGCAGCTGACCTGGGTGGTGGCCGTGCTGCAGGAGGTGGCAGCAGCGGGAGCCCAGATGATCGCCCCGCTCAGCGAGCAGGAGGGCCTGTCAGCCCTGAAGATGGAGGACGTGGCCTTCAAGGCGGCCGAGCAGGTGCTCCTCCGTGTGCATACTCCGCAGCCAGGAGCCAATCAGACCGACACTCAGGGCTTCCTGTAGGCGGAGCTCCGTCTTGCTCATACTCAGCTGCTCCAGAGCAGAATTCAGAAGTCCGTCAGCTTTCTGAAATGCTTCTCCCTCCAAGCAGTTGAAAGAGAAAATAAAAATCCAGAGCAAATCCAGCCACCTCTGGTTCCCATCAGACATGTGTGAAGCCTTACCCTTGTTAAGCTTATAGATTTATCTAAACATGGAATGCACTGGTTCATCTCTGCTAATGGTGAGGTTGGATCTGGGCACCGTTTCGCTCTCTGAGCCCAGACCTCTGCCTCTTCTTTCGCCAGGTCTATGGCTCCCAGGGCATCAGTCCCTATGAGTGTCTACGCCAGTCCTACAGTGTTGTCATCGCCACCATGAACAAGATGGCCACTGCCATGCAGGAGGGCGAATACGACTCGGAGAAGCCTCATGGCCAGGTGAGGAGGATGGGAGGGAGGGGACAGGCTACCGATCGCACTGGCTACAAGGTGTATGTAGCTAAACTTAGCTGATGTATGTTTTTACGTTAAGGTTGAGGTTCAGTGTAAACTCTCTAGAGACACACAGTGCTCACTGAAAGTCTTGGGTCACTTGCGTAATTCTATAAAAATGTAGCAAATTTTTGTTTATTATTCCTGTCAGTAGTATTAATGTGCATACATGTGCTTGGGTGTCCAAGAAAATGGCCATAATGTCAAGTTACTGGTTCATGTCCATGCTTTAGTTTATTACTACATAAACTTAGCATAATGAGATTCTTGGTCTAATGCCTACTGTGGGCTGTCAGTTAATGATTCAGGGTTCTTAAGTCTCACGCATTGACCGTGAGACTCATCATCCAGTTCCCACACTCACACCTTGTGTTTCCCACGCTGAGAAGTAGCCAGGGATAACCCCCACCAAGGTGTCCTGTTATATAGAATTAAGGGACGAGGTGCAGGCATTCGGTGCAGAGTTTTCCACCGAGTTCATAGCTGTCCCGCGTTATACAGAGTCAACAGCCACCTACTAGCCAATCAGAAAATAGCTTTTGTTGTTTCTGGGTAAATTCCAAGATAAGTTAGATGTGATCTTGCTACAATCACGTTATTACTTGGATGCGCCCCCACACACAGAGTGCAGTGGGAGTGGAAGAGCAAGATCCGATGAATGCAGTAGGCAGAGCTCTGGAGTCTCATGCACTGACCGTGAGACACACGCTGTGCTCCTAACAGATGTAATCTCACTCCAAATTTTTGATGATACTTGAGAGCCCTGATGATACATTTGCAAAGAATAACAGAAAGTAGCAGCATAGCCTTAAATACATTCATGAAAGTGCTGCTCTTCACTCTACCCCCTACATATCCTCCACAGACACCCTCGCCGGTGGATCTGCGGGCTGCTGCACTGCGAGCTGAGATCATGGACGCAGAGGGTCTGGGCCTCAAGCTGGAGGATAGGGAGACAGTCATCAAAGAACTCAAGAAGTCCTTAAAAATTAAGGTCTGTATTTCAAAGACTACACACAGTCATCTGATTCCTGTATGCAGTTATGATGCAGGATCTGTACAGCTATGCCTCACGGAATTGTATATCTGTCTTTGACAGGTTCCAAGTATTCCTTACTGCTGTTTGCCTAGTCATTTGGTTTTTTCCACAAATGTCTGAAAGTTTTGGGTTTTATGTAAGAAACATCTGATTGCTGTAAAAGTGTAAATCCACAGTGACATACACTCACATTCCTGGAGATTTAGATCTTACGACCCTCTCTGGTGTGTCTCCATACTCTGTGTGGCGTTTCCTCTCTGGTGCTCTGGTGTGTCTCCATACTCTGTGTGGCGTTTCCTCTCTGGTGTGTCTCCATACTCTGTGTGGTGTTTCCTCTCTGGTGTGTCTCCATACTCTGTGTGGTGTTTCCTCTCTGATGTGTCTCCATACTCTGTGTGGTGTTGCAGGGAGAGGAGCTAAGCGAGGCTAATGTGCGCCTGAGCCTGCTGGAGAAGAAGCTGGACAGCTCCTCAAAAGACGCGGATGAGCGTGTGGAGAAGATCCAGACCAAGCTGGATGAGACGCAGACCCTCCTCAAGAAGAAAGAGAAGTATGACTTAAACAAGTTGTTAAAGAACACACCATGCTGACTTGGCAGAAAGTTTGGCACTTTCCATAAACAACTCAAAGCTTTGTTACCTCATATGCTTGGAGATTTATGCTCGTTGTATTTAACGTTCGCATCACAGGGAGTTTGAGGAGACCATGGACGCGCTGCAGGCTGACATCGACCAGCTGGAGTCTGAGAAGGCTGAACTGAAGCAGCGACTCAACAGCCAGTCCAAGATGAGCACAGAGGGCCTGCGGGCTGCACCAGCGTCTGGGATCGCCTCCATCGTCACCGGCATGACTGGAGGTGACGTCCCTGTGCCATTTACACCACGCCTGATCCACTCTGAAGATTTCACCAGATATTTGCTGTTGTTTAAATACTATTTTCATTCTGGATCAGGAGACACACCAAACTAGCCAAAACAGATTCCCACAAATTAGAGAGAAAACAGGTTTCAAAACGAGTTATTAAGGAGTAGTGTGAATTATTACATATTTATATATATTAGCTGTATCTGGTATCAAAATATGCTTTGTCATTATTTAGCATAGAATATCAGAATTCAGAAATCTTTAGAATTTTGTGTGGAAAGTTCAGTTAAATTCAGTAAATTCTGTTATGCTGTTGTGAGAAATTAATTCAATTTAAATTTGAATTACACTACAATTAATATTAGAGTTAAAGTTTATTAGTCTCACACACTGATTCAGGGAACTTTTGGTTCACCTTTTGACATTTCTCCCTGACCTCTTATGTGGGGGAGCCTTTTTGTTTCTAAAGATTTTTTTTTTCTTCAGGTTCTGTCATAGCACAGATTTTAGATTATTTTTGAAAATGTACTATTCACAAACATCCGATTGTTCGTTTCAAATCATTATCCGGTTGAATTATTCATAGATATTTCCTGCTTTGGACTTTGTACTATAAATTGGCTTCTCAGTTAGATAAACAGAAAGACTAGTTTTCCTAAGATAATGTGTTTATTTAGGTCTGGGCATGATGTGTTACTAAACTCTTAAGGCCACATTTGTGGTGTTAAACGTACTGGTAGATATGTCTTCATGATCAATTGATTTGCACTCTGTCATAAATCAGATTTTAGTTACTTGTTTGAAATGATAAATACACTTTATTTGCATCAAAAGAGAACTGAATAATTGTGATAAAAGAGACTTAATGTTTTTTCTGTGATCTGAAAAAGGTCGTCACCATTATGTACTGTTTGGGATAAGACTTGATTGAATATGTTTAGCTTTAAGTTCTTCTTTTCACAGCATGCAACATATGCTTCATGCCCAGGGTAGTACTGGGTCCAGTTATATGACCTTTATATCACAGCTTTATTAAATACTGTTTCTAACTGGTCCAGAGGCGTCATGTGGCTGTTGATTATTTTCCTGTAACCACCCAGGTAGCCCTGGCAGCCTAATAATAGTTCTATATTAATGCTTTTTAAATATAAAAATGTTAATATAAAATCCTGTGTGACATTTTACACATAAATAAGCAGCCATTTTTTATAATTTATAATTTTCCTTGGTTTCTGTTGACGGTTTCTATGGTAATGTAATGGACTTGCCGCTTCCAGTGAGCCAGACATTCTATCCTTACAGGGACTGTATTTTTAAGAGCTGATTGGAACATTATGAAATGCTAATTGAAATAATTTTCTCCTGAAATAACCATTTTATTTTTTTTTGTTTATTAGCAGTGGTACAAGACCGATAAACCACTTTGAGGTGTGTGGTTATACGAAAATAATCAAGGACAACTTGATGTAATGCAGTTTATCCTTTACTTAGCTAAGGCAGGTTGTAAGGATCCCAGACAGAAGCTGGTTACGAGACGCTAATTTCTGATCCTAATTGTTTTTCTGTATCCTTCTTTTTTCAATGCTGCATGTTTTTAATCTGCAGATGAGCAGAAAGGTAATGTCTGCTGTCTTAATCTCTAACCTGCTTGCTTTGGCCATGCATGTCAACAGTGAGACCAACAGATGAAACTGTACTACAATGAAATGGATCTTTTATATCAGAACTTCTTTATGTGCATTTTATTTCTTGCCAGTTTTGATAAAGATTCAAAGTAACGGAACTTTTCTAAACAGCTAATTTACCATGTTCATATTTTGGAATTTTGAAGACCTAGGCAGTGTATACTTTTAATACTACTGTAGAAAATCATAAACGCAGTGTAGGTTCAGCATATTGTGGACACCAAGTGCCAATGCTGGTAGGAAAGTTCATGGAAGAATAACACACTATTTGTTTCTAGTTCAGTTATGATCAGATGCACAGATTTTTCCATAAGCCGTGCTAAGATGCAAGGGAAAGGGACATGGATGCCATTTGCTTTCCCTGTATTTCTACTGTATGACATTTTTTGATGCGTTTGTATCTGAAACAATGACCGTATTTCATTGAACTCCTATGTACTGATAAACTTTAAGTTTTGAATAATGCAGTCGCCTGCAAGAATTTAAACATGCTGCTGCTGGAGTCTGACACGCTCCTCTGCTTCCTTCCTGCCCTGCGCATAGGTGTTGCTGTGGCCACCATGGCCGGGGGCTCGGGGTCCCTTCAGGTCGTCGACTCTCCCCTCCTGCTGCAGCAGATCGAAGCCCAGCGCCTCAGCATCAAGCACCTGAAGAATGAGAACAACCGTCTGAAGGTGAGCCGAGGCCCAGCCCCACTGTCTCTATTAGCAGGAGCTTAGACTGTTTGTAGGTACCAAGAGGTTCTTTGGAAGTACAGCTTTCTTTGATGACCTCTGTGACAGCCTGCAAAAGAAATTAAGCTCTTGGCTGTGTCAGAATTATACAGTCGATAGAATTATTTGTAAATGTACTCAACGCAGATGAAATGGTTACCGGTTTCATGGTAAACCACGGTAAAATACCCCACGGTTAGTATTACTACGGTGGATATAAAAAGTGTACAAACCCCTGTTCAAATGTCAGGTTTTTATGCTGTAACAAATGAGACCTTGATAACGTCAAAACTTGAGACTGATCGTTTCAAAGCTTTTCCCAACCTTTATTTTGACCTTGAAGTTGTACAATTCAATTGGGAAAAAAAAACTAATCTTTTAGGGGGGAAAATATAAAAAATAAACATACAGTAAGCTGGGTGCATAGGTGTGCACACCCTTAAACTAATGCTGCACTCCATTTGAACTCGTAACTCAGAAATTCCGAGTTCTTCGGAATTTAGTCAGAAAGTTAGCAACGGTTTGCCAGACACGTGCCTCAGGTGTAGCAAACGTGGTTTCGCTTTGTGTCAGTGTAAACTTGGTGTAAGGCAGTGACAGCGCTCTGGAGATTTTTAATGTTAATGCACATTTGATTTGGTTTTCTTATGTTTACATAAACATATTGGCTATTTTATTATTTTAATGCTTATACACCAAAAGGTGTATAATGTTGCTAGTTTTATTACTGGTTTTCAGTATAAAACTTATAGTAGCTTTTGAAGATTTTCAGCACATTTTGCCAATACCGTGATATATTTTCATACCGTTTCACCTCCAGTACACGCTCACTTGTTTGAGCCTGGTAGGGTAACAGCACTATCCCCAATGTGAATATTACCTGTCTCTGTGCTGTGCCCCGGCTCCTCTCAGGCAGAGAAGATGAGTGCTCAGCTTGCTTCCCTGCCCCCACTGCGTGTGTCGAAGCTGCCCAGCAAGGACGGCTCCCGGCCCGAGGTGCTCTCCAGCGCCCTCTATCGTAAAACAGACCAGCTGCTGGAGACCCTGCTCCAGATGAGTGCCAACGTGAAGGTGGTGGACGTCACTGGCAAATCACCAGGTCGGTGCTGCCGTCGCCCTGACCTGCTCTCTGCTTTCTCTGCGTTTCTTTACTTCATGCCTCACTCACAACCTTAATTCTATACTGTCATTATATGGCCAAAAGTGTCTGGACATTCCTTCTAATTAGCAGAATTAGCTAATTAAGCCACACTCATTGCAGATACAGTTGTTTAATTAGGCACCCAGCTATGCAAACCCCAGTAGCTAACATGGACAGTAGAATCAGTCGTATGGAAGAGTTCACGGACATCAAGTCAATTGGTCAAATTTCTACACCTTCCCCAGTAATCTGCAAGTTTATTGATTTGAAGTGTAAATATCTGGGGATCACAACACTCACAGTAGAGTGGTAGGCGACACAAGCCCACAGAAATGCACTGCTAACTGCTGTAGTGCAGTACATAAACACTGCTTGCCTTTATTTGGAACACTCAAACTTCCAAACTGTGTCTGGAAGCAGCACCAGCACAGAAATTAGCCCAGAAAAAGAGGACAGAAATGATTTGCTGAGAAAGGAGTGGATGACCCTGGCTGACCTGCACAAAGCCCCTGATCACATGACTTCTGTTCTGAAGCTCATTTTTTCATTGGGCCTGAATGAGGGTAAATTCTATGAACTCCCAGAAGAGCCAATGCTGTTACAGCAGCAAAGGGAGCTCCAGTCTCATTTTAATACCCTTGTTTTTGGAATGGTCTGCTTGCTTCTAGCCATATCGTGTATGATGTTCAAGGCTGTGAAAATCTGATGATGGTACATTAGCCTGCAGTCAAACTGATGCTGGTCTCCTCTTCCTGACAGTGAGCCCGAGTGCCCAGCTTCTGGAGCAAACCGCTCGTCTCCAGTCCCTCAGCGAGACCCTCGACAGGCTTAAGGTAACTGATGTGTGGCTTAAATCCTGGTGTCACGTCCATATAAAATGCCTGAGGTCGTGTTCCCTTGCTCAGTCTCTCCCGATGTGGTGCCTTTTGGTGGCTGCGATAGGGCTGGTCTTGTGGGTCTCATCTCACTTCCTCGATCCCCTTCTCAGGATGAAGTCGCTGAGCATGTGGTGGTGCAGAGGCCAGGTGCCAGAGTCCCCTCTGACTTTGCCACGTTCCCATCCACTTCTTTTGTTAAGGTAAGACACTGAAGCACGCACGGACTGAACATCAGGAAGTTTCCTGGTGGGTCGGTCTCATAAGGGCTGGTCTTTCTTCCCCAAACCAGGCATTACTCAGCTTAAATATAACCTCATACAATGTAGGCAACCAGCTGATCGTGATTAGCCAGTCCCCACCCAGGTCGGCAGACAAATATAGCCGCTATACCTAACCCTAAAGGTATTCAGAACCAAGGCCCAATTGTTCAGAAGTAATCTGATTGGATTTCATGTGTGGGATTGGATTAAATCTTAAGAATTGGTTTTTCAAAGCTTTCTAGCAGGATTGGAACACCTTTGATTAGGATTACAGAAGAAGGGTGGATTCCGGGTAGATTTCAAAAGCAAAATGTAACAAAACTTTAAAATTAGTCAAATAACATTTGTATCAAATAAGAAATATGACAAATTGGCTTGATGGAAAGGAAGCATGTATCACTTGTTTATATTTTGCTCTTGATTTGTTCAACAGTTACATTGATGAAGCAGATAAAGTAGACATTAGGCTAGCCCAGTGGTTCCCAAACTGGGGGGCGCAGAGATATTGCGGAGGGGCGCGCCAATGGGATCGCCTCAGGGGCATGTGCCACCCTAAAATAATCTTTTTAAAAAAAGGTTTTTGTACCACGTGACATGGTGACGTGTGACGACGTTTTGCAACGTCGGACAAAAAAATCTAACCATATCATGAAAAACAAGGTTTAAAATTTTCTGCATGAAGTGCAGGCAGACTATCAATTAATGGGTATGATTTAGTGTTGTTTTGTGCTATAGTATAAGCTGAAACCTGCGGTTATCATTAAAAACAAAATGCGGTAATCATAAGACAAACTTTAATTTGTGTACGGCAATAAATATTAACAGTAATGTTAAATCTGCATTTGCATAATTTCAAACTTATGCTGGACTTTTATTTTTAATTGATTGCTCTTTTTTCTCCCATAGTGGTGAAATCGCACCATTTGTATTTTGTATTTGCATTTGTTTTGCTAAATTAGAAAAGGGAGTTGTATTTCAAATAAAGTTTGAATCTGAACCTGTGTAGTTTGAATGGGGGGGCTCAATAATGTTCCTATCTAGAAAAGGGGGGCCCTGCAGAGAAAGTTTGGGAACCACTAGGCCAGCCATTAATTAAGCCTTTCAGTACAGTAAAGGGGGAAAAGGATCTTGTCCCTATAAAATAATCCCCCAAACTGCTGTCAATATCAAACAAAAATTCTATATTTAACTTCATTCATCACTGTATATTAATTACAATGACACAATTAAGAGCGATGAACCAGTCAAAAGCAGTTTCTAACATCCCTTATTATTGTTTACTATTGAGCATTTAGCATTTTTGATTTAAAACATGTTCAGAATATCCACAATGCATTTGTGAATAACATATTGGCCAATTTTCTTGTTTTTATTTATTTGTTTTGGGTCATATGAGGGGTCTGACTGCTTAAAAGACATTGAGAATAGAAGGGGATGTTTGTATTGTTTTATTGTGCTGTTTTCTGACTCTTCAAATAAAAACACTTAAAGTGATTCCACGATGCTTTTCAACCTGCTGTTTTTTTTAATAATAATAATAATAATAATAATACATTTTATTTATAGGCGCCTTTCTAAACACTCAAGGACACCGTACAGTGAATGCTAAAGAACAATATAAAAACCATGATAATGCAAAATACAAGATTAAAAACACAAGTTAAATTAAACAAAGCAACTGAATTCACAGAGAGAAAGCCAGCTTGAACAGATGGGTTTTAAGTTTCGATTTGAACAGTGGAAGTGAGTCAATGTTTCTGAGCTCCGATGGTAACATAGTTAGTAGCTTACATTTAGAACACTGGTAATTTGGATTTGTTAGTCTTGAAAACTGTGTATCTGGATCAGGGTAATCCAGTCCAGTGTCGCTTTGAAAAACCAGCACAAATGTAAAATGGATCAACTGATCCTGGACAGCAAAACATTGGATTTCCAAATCAGGATCATTCTGTTCCACATTAATTTTTTTTTAAGTTTGATCTGGGCCCAGGGCATGTTGTTTTACTTTGATTGAGAATTATTTACGTATGACTTCCTAGGGCTTTAGTAAGAACACACTGTGGTAAATTAATGCAAACTTCACTTCCTTACCATTACCATTTCCTGTACCCTCAGGCTAAAGAAGAAAAAAAAGATGACACGTTATTGGTGGGAAAGGTGATGTTGCCTTGCTCTCGCGGCCAGGAGCAGGTGCATCGCCTCGTCCTATCACAGCCGCAGCTCCACAGAGTGCACCGCCTTCTCCTTGCTTAGGCTCCACCCCTACTCACACCTCTGGTGTGTTAGTCTGCACGAATGACACCTCGCCGTACACCAATCTCCACATTAGTTTCACAACATTCATTTCAGCTGCCATTTTTGCCACTGACCTACGAAAATGCCAATGCTACATTTGAGAAGGATATTACAGGTTTGAGAATATCTGATGTCCATTTCAGTTACTATGTTTAAAATGTCCTTGGATTGCTAGGGAATAGTTCAATACACTTTTAAGATTTCAGTTTTGTTTATACCATTCAATGTGGATAAAAGTACACACATGCTTATAAATTTCACCATATGAAGGCAGACTGTCATGTGGATCGTTTTGTAACTTGAGTATTTCTGTCGGACATATTACTTCTGGCCAGTAGAGTAATTTTATCACTAAGATCTTACGTAAGGTTAATTTGTTGCGTAAGGTTAAGCTGAGAACAGTTATTGTTTTTCATTTTAATTTAAAATATTTATCAAATGTAGTGTTATTTAATGTTTTTATACATTAACAAATATTTCATTTAGTATAGCTAAAGCATACTAATTTTTATCTTACTTTGGTAAGCCATTAATTTACCATAGCAGTATCTTCAAATGTAGTGCCGTTAAGTTTGTGAAATATCTACTGGATGCATAACATTTTTATTATTATGATGAAGATGTAACATTTCATTTGTATGAGATGGAACTAAGATATATGAAGATACATATTTTGTTATTTGGGGATTGTCCTTCACATTTTGTTCCACCATTGAGAAGTTAATAAGTATCATAATGTCTATTTATTTAACATGCCTGCTTACGATGACCGTTTGGAGACTGTTCCCAGTGTGACTGAGATGCAACAGCTTCTCTTTGAAACTGTTCCAGTCTTATCACAAATACAGGTACTTGTAAGGATGTCATGCCAAACAAGAACTGAAACTCATTGCTCAGAATGTTTACCTAATAATGCACTATAGTTTATCTTTGTCTTATGTGAAAGAGGAGGTGAAGTTCTTTTAGAGAGTATACTTGAGTAATAGTGACCAACCAATATGAAGTAACCACTCTGCGTAATCACTCCTTACTCTCTCAGTGCTGCAGTTGTATTGAGGGCACTCCTGTAACCTAATATATATTTCCCAGCTTTAACCCCCACTGTATGCATCGGCTGTAGCATCTTGAAAATTCAACATATGCTAGAAACACTCTGCGGCCTTGTAGTACTGTAACCATACATACAATAAACCGTTACTCCAGAACACTCCTTTGGCGTGTCTTGCCTACATGTCTCATGTCTCTCTACAAAGGTTTTTTTTTTTAATCCCATTTTAACTATTTTTGCTTTTTAATTCATTAAAAAAATAACGGTATCAGAGGATTAAGGGACATGCTGTCAATCATACAAGTCAGGAAGCTGAGGTTATACACATGCAAACCAAATTACCGTGGTGTTTAGCTGACTGCACCACATTACAATCTAACAGAAACAAACTGAAATGCTGTTTAAAAATGTGCAGTCATTGGATATATGCAACACCCTCATAATTAAGTATCGTTACTGTTCAATTCAGATGTCACATAACAATCTGTAACACTCATGGGGGCACAAATAACCTGAAATGAAATGTTCGTTATCTACTAATCCCATGTCTGTTGATCATTAATCATAACATGTAGTTGTTATACTTGCTTGTGTACTTGACTAGTAACTGAGTTACTAAGTTACTTGTGCCCTTTCAAGTAAAGTATTATCAAACATTCTAACATCAATAGTTGTCTTTTGCACTGCTTTTGGACATTGATATTTAACGTAGAAGAAAGGGGGGAAAAATCAGCTAAATTACAGATATAAGCTGAGATCAACAGGAGCAAAAAGATAAGTATTTACTGCTTGTACTCATTTATACCTTTAATTGGTACTCAAACAGGAAGAAATTGGTGAACTTGGCTGTCAGAGTTGGGCGTCGAAACTGCCTGATCTTCTTAAAGCCTATGTGTTCGTACAGCTTCTGTGCATCAGTCTGGACCACAGAGGTATAGAGGACAATTGTCTGGTATCCCTTTGTGCGAGCAAAGTCCACTGCTACCCTGCAGAGGGTTTTGGCGATGCCTCGGCGTCGATGACTTCTGTATACTGACACGTGCTTAAGCTCTAAGAACTCCTGATAAATCTTGGAGGGTACGTAAGCCATTAAGGCCACCACTCGACCCTCACTCTCTGCCACCCAGAAACATGAGTCCCTCTCCTCCATGTAGGACTCCTGGATGCGACTAAAGTCTTCTTTCAGTGTGAAGTCAATGTATTTGGTGAAGGACTGGCTGACCAGCTGTCGCATTCCTACTAAGAGCATGCTGATCACCAGTACAGGGAGGAGGAAGGACTTGAAGACAGCCATCAGACCAAAGAAGACACACATGAGCACCACCTGGATAAGGGGCTGTTTCAGCATGTGCACGAAGGAGGTGGGCACTTGCTCACTGATCCCCAGCGCAAAGATCTCCTTCACCAGCTCCTCGTCTTCATCCCTGTACTTCCGCACCTTAATTTTGTCCATGGTGCTGACACCCTTCAACCTAAAAACAGTACAGACAAAAATTATACACTGGGAATCGCTGCCAAATCTCACTGCCAGAAAATGTTGATTAACTGCACTGAAACTTTGCACTCCAGAAATTTCCATAGAGACTGATGTTTGGGTCATTCTCACAAACTCATGGCTATAACAAGTTTTCTCTCATTTTCAAAATTAGTTTGAAGTCATTGTGTAAACTGTTAATTTTGCCTCTAGGGTAGTAGATTTCTTTATATTAACATTTATTTTTATAATGTTGCAGCCCTTGGATCCCAAAGAGAGTCTCGACAGGTGCTTAAGTTTTCCTTTTAAGTTTAGAGCAGCGTCAACTCTGTCCGTCTCGTCCGATATCTTAATTATAGCACTGTGAAAACTTTATCAGGACATACACACAAACATTTAACAATCTAGTTCCCGCGGATACAAACTTCAATAAACACAAACATTCATATACATAGCAATACGTTTCATACATAGATACGAATTACAAATCATAACTATATAAAGAAACGTACCTCGCTGCGCTCACCAAGGAATGCAAATGTATGATATGATAATCCTTTCGTTATGTAAATGAAGTACAAAATTAAAAATAAAACTGCTTAAGCACAACCAAAGCAGCTTCCCTCATTTACGCCTGCAGGCTACTTCTAAAAAGACCTCCCCTTTGTGCAAACTACGGTGTCACCCACAGGACAAAATTCAATAGCGCAGGTACACTCAAAATTCGTTCATAAATTCACACACAAACCACACTTGACTAAAGCACATACAAAATAAAAAATATTCGTGAATAAATTAGAAAATGAATTAGACATATTTATATCGTTTTACCAAAACAAAATGACAAAAAAAACATACAAGGACAACTGCGGTCCTTTACATATAAATATTTCAACAAATCCGGGGCAAGAGCTACAGAGATGATAAAAACATGATAAAACTAGAAAAAAAAAAATGAGGTGTTGTATATCTATATATATATATATATA